CCAATCGTGTAGCCATAGGTTCCGGTTGATGCGATAACGACTTCCGATCTCGCCTGGAGACTGGCGACGATGGTTGAGACTTCGCCCAGGTCTGAGGAGGAGCATGAGAGTACCCAGGTTGAGGACTGCGAAGCCCATTCTGGTCTACACCGTCAAATTGATTCGATGATTTTGCGCTAGGTAGGGAGCTGAGTGGATCTTCGTCCTCGTCATCCGATTGATGAGGAGTCCTAGCAATGTCATCATATTGCCTGCTCTTCTGACGCAAGTAGTCTTTATTTGTTACTCGCATTCGTCGATCCTCGACGAGAGACATCTGCTCGTCAGACATCCAGTTGCCAATATTCATATCCAAGCCGGGGTAAAGGAGCACCAGTCCATCAGGGACTGGGAGTTCTGCTTGGACCAGGGACGGGCGCCGATTCGTGGTGGCACTTTCGATCACCATTAGAGTCATGGCGGTTGCAAGGTTGCCACCAGCACTGTCACCGGTGACCACCACTTTTGTGGTCTCCCGTCCCGACATCCCTATACATCGCCCTTTGGTTCTGATGATGGTTGTATACACATCAAAACACTCGTTGAGGGCATACGGGTACGGATACTCGGGTGCTTTCTTGTAATCTAGGCTAAGCACCGGAAGGCCGGTCTTTCCTGCCCACGCAAAAAGCTTGTCGTCGTTGCATCTCGGATCCATAGCTACAAAGCCACCTCCTGGAATATCGAGGATCATCTTATTGATGTGTTCCAGGTCTGAGATGGGACCATCATAATATAGCCAACCAGATACAGGGTCCTTGTAATCACTCGTACTAGGCCTGGGGATACGGATCGCGCGTGGAGGCCAGCGTGTGAATCGGGGTCGCATCAAGTTCTGGGCAGCTCGAAGATAGGGGGTTGTACCCTTGTTCCAACTGACCCGCAAATGGTCGATAGTCAGCATCCCTCTCACCTTTCGGACCTTCTCATCGGCGCGTTCAGCGGATATAAGGTAGAACAAGGAGAAAACCACGCTGGCTATGTCCCGTACCCACTTCCTCTTTATTTTCATGGCCGTCCAGAAGCCGGCATCAAGTGCAGTTAAGACCCAAGTAGCTCGGAAATATTTCGCATCGTACATATTTGCCAACGGCTCCGGGCTAGCCAGCCCAACGAGCGTGCTGAAGTTCCGGGCTGCGTACAAATACATCATGGTGAAGACGACAGTCTGCCATGTTGTCAATGCTTTCGTGGAAAGTTTCGACAAGAATCGGACAAAAGGCGGGCCATGTCGATTTCCTCTGCGCCATGGTCAGCCGGTTGCATGATACGAAGAAGACTCATCCGAGGGGAACTCACTTATACAGGTAGCAAGACCAGAATGTCAACACGGCAAGTACTTGGAGCCTGCGCGACTTCACGGAAGGTTTCCCAAGGACGTGATCTATCATTTTGTACAAGGAGAATACAAATCTAAGGTAACATTAAAAAGGACTATCGATGTATCGAGATGCTATCATAGAATATAGACAGATGATAGCTGCTCAGATTGGGAGGTGATATTGTTCTCTAGAAACGACACGACCTGCGAATTGGCGCATCGTTCCTTGTGAAGGACGTTGACGCAGAAGATCGAGTCAAGGCACTGGGAGTACACAGTAAATAGCCGGGGACGACGAAACGTCAGCGTGGATTTAAGAGCAGGCCGAGAGAAGAAGAGTAGAGCGGTGGATTCGTGACACAAGGACTCGAAAGCTGAGATGATTGATTACTGTATATGGGGTTAAGCCGAAGCGCAATGCATTGTCCGTCGCTGACCAAGTTGTCAGGATGAGATTGATGAAATTGCCAGCTCATGAGTGGTGGCTTGCGCTCCGTATGGAACATATGGAACATGGCTATGGAAGCTGGACCTATCGGTTCCTTCAGTGACGTTTGCGTCGAGGGCGCATTAACATTTAGCTTGACATGTGAAAATTGGTAGTGAGTGATCAGCAGGTATCTTCCCCCCAGTCTCCCCCACACTTGACTCGACTCGGTCCTAGGCTGGTAGGTTGGCAGGTAGGCCTGGGAGGCTGCCAGGGCCTTGGAATGTGAACACCCCGTGCCCCGTCCTGCCTGCTTGAGGTATCCCCATTGCTGTGCTGGCCATCGTAGCTAGCAGGCTAGTAACTTTATGGCCGCGGCTGCTGACAATCAGGGGCGGCTGGATGCTTACTGGTACGAAGCTCCGTGGTTTGCACCACCACTGCATAACAAGTCTGTATCACATGCTCGTACGCAAGTACGCATGTGTAAGTACCGAGGACAGTTCAAAGATAAGATGATTTGCATGAATGTTGATGGTATGTATGAATTCAACATGGCCTCGGTGTTCATCCCAACGTCAGCCCACAACTTGCATTAGCCTTACCGCTATGTACCGTTCCTGAAAATGCCACGCGGAGAAGGGCTCAAGTTTATCTATAACGGACCACCTGGATGCGTCCACGGGTGTTGCTGCATGGGGTGTTCCGACGCCATGGTTCAATTGTAGACATGGTGTGAGACAGGCAACTTGCAATGTGCAACCTTGCTACTACGCATATCTTGATACGTATAGTCAATGGACTGCAGGTTCATTATAACGCCAGAGTCTCACTTGAGATTACTCCTGGGATGAAATGAACCGACTGATTAGATTCGTGAATAAGATGCCGATGAGATAAAGTTGGTTGTGTAGTAGGTAGATGTTTGGGGGCTGAATGCAAATTGGGTTGGGGAGTTTTTGATTTATGGTGAGCAGCTGATACCTTCCTCCACTGCTACACTGCACTGTCGCTGCCGATTTGGAGAAGGGTGCACCCCGCCTGCCCGTCAGCCCGCCTGCCAGCTCCGTCCATCTGTCAGAGCCATCCCCTCCACCCCGTGCCTGCCGCCCATGCAGCCATGTTGGAGCAAATATGTTGGAGCTGCGAGATCGGACCAGAAATTGACAAATTTAGGCTATGATCTTATCGATAAGCACGAATGACTGCAGGATCGATCAATTGACCCCAACCGCCCCGGCGTTTTTTTCAATTGATGAGTCCCGGTACCAGTCAACGCTGTTCACAACTATTGAACCTTATCTCTCGTCACTCACCACCGGGCAGTTAGGTCTTCCTTTAAGGGATCTGCAGCTGCAGCAATGGCTCCCAGGATTCCTATACGGCGACTAGCGTTCACCCGCATACGAAGTCTGTCCTCCCAAGCAACGCCTGCCGCCTCGAACCTGTCGCAACACGCTCAAAAGTCCATCTCCCGAGATGCCTCGCTCCCGAATCCCGACCCGACAGAGGACTCTGCAAGTGCGGCATTGGTCAAGGAACATTCGAAGTACATGTTAGCCACCTACGCACGGCCGGCCCCGGTATTCGTCAAAGGCGAAGGCTCGTATCTGTGGGACTTGGAGAACCGCAAATACTTGGACTTCACCGCTGGCATTGCCGTCAATGCGCTTGGCCATAGTGACCCTGGCCTGGCCAAGGTCCTCACAGACCAGGTAGATCTCTCTCCTATCATACTACTAGATCTCTAGATCTAGAGATCTATGAGATCTTCATCTCTATCGATCTTCACCTTCCAACTCTTGCGCCATCCCAACTAACCACAACCCCATTCAACTCCCTAGGCCCAGACGCTATGGCACGCTTCCAACCTCTACTACAACCCCTGGACGGGCGCCCTGTCCCAGCTGCTAGTCGAGAAGACCCTCCAATCCGGCGCCATGCACGATGCCGCCACCGTATTCGTATGTAACTCCGGCACCGAGGCCAACGAAGCCGCCATCAAGTTCGCGCGCAAGGCCGGCAAGGTCGTGGACCCCACCGGCACCAAGCACGAGTTCGTCTCCTTCCACGGCTCCTTCCACGGCCGGACCATGGGCAGTCTGTCCGCGACGCCGAACCCGAAATATCAGGAGCCCTTCGCGCCGATGCTGCCCGGCTTCAAATACGGCACCTACAACGACGTGAGCGCCATCGACGGCCTCGTCACCGACAAGACCTGCGGCGTCATGATCGAGCCGATCCAAGGCGAAGGCGGCGTCAACGTCGCGACCGACGAGTTCCTCCTCGCGCTCGCCAAGCGATGCCGCGAAGTCGGAGCCGTGTTGATCTTCGACGAGATCCAGTGCGGTCTCTCGCGGACCGGCACTCTCTGGGCCCACAGCCACTTGCCCAAGGAGGCGCATCCCGATGTGATCACAACGGCCAAAGCGCTCGGCAACGGCTTCCCCATCGGCGCTACCGTCGTCAACGGCAATGTCAGCGACAAGATCAAGATCGGCGACCACGGCACGACGTTCGGCGGCAACCCGATGGCCTGTCGCCTAGCGCACTACGTGGTTTCGCGGCTCTCAGATCCGAAGCTGCAGGAGGATGTGCTTTCGAGGTCGAAGGTCTTCCGAGAGAGATTCGAGCAGCTGCGACAGAAATACCCCGACCTCATCACCGAAGTACGCGGGAAAGGGCTGATCCTGGGCGTGCAGTTGACCGAGGATCCAGCTCCCATTGTGAAGGCGGCCAGGGAGAGGGGGCTGCTGGTGATTACCTGCGGGACCAACACGCTCAGATTCGTCCCGCCGCTCACGGTGAGCGTTGAGGAGATCGAGAGCGGACTGGATATCCTGGAGGAAGCTATTGCTGCAACTCGGAAATGAGATGAGATATGATCTATCTACCATTATGAGCTTCACATTAGCCAGGCGTTTAGGGTTAGAAAAGAGACGTTTCTATCTACATATTTGGATCTTTGAGATGGGGGGAAGCGAAAGAAGTGTTTATTTATTGCTACAATAGAACGGTACGTATAGGGGAATTTTACATATATGCCAAAACCAAAAGAAAGAATGCAGCGAGACTGCCTATGCACCCAGCACCCCTTTCACTATATGCATGCTACAAAGTGCCATTGCAAGTAAGAAGTGCGTATCTAGTTAACGAAACATATATATACAACTAGGCCAAAAATTGTAGCAAAGCATTATAGTTGCTACACGAAGGTCGGCCTGGGAATCGAACCCAGATCTGCAGAAGACCACATGACACGCGGCAGAGGACGAATCTCCCAGCGGCTCAAAATCTGCCGTGCTAACCGTTACACTAGCCAACCCCATTAGAACTGGTCTGAGATGCGCCAGATCTACCTAGACTTGCTTAATGCGCTTAACGTAATTGTTAGTCTCGGCAACGCCAATTGAGGCTCCTATCTACCATCTGCTATCTATCGCCGTTGTGTTGGGGCGTGTCACACTTCAATTCGAAATGGACAATATTGGGATAATTAGAAAATGAACATAGACTCATGCCTTTAAGATGCTAATGTATATGGGAAATGTCCGCAATAGCATGAAGAAAAGCCATCAATTGTCGGCCTGTCTGTCGCATTCGCGTTCACACTGTGTCTGTTAGATGCTTGGATCGTCAGTGTGCTACATGTAATCAATGGCATTCTATAGATGTTCAACTTCTACCAAAGATGGTTATGCTCTAACAACCGAAATGGATGCCTATCCGGGCCCCTTCAACTGGAAAATAGGTCTAATATTTGAAGCCGTGCTTTAAATCTTCACTCCAACCAGTGCAGTCACAACAGAACGGCGTGATCACTAGTAAGTGTTGGATTCAGAAAAGCAACCATTGGAAGTCCACGATGATGGTTACTTCCACGTCAGATGTCGTCTCCTCTACCAGCTCAGACATCTTAACTCTTAACGTGGAATTGGAATGTCCTTTAATGGTGACTAAAAGCGAATTGTCTAAGGCATCTTCCGTTAAGGTCAACAGGAGCACCTTGTTTATGAACCTGAGAGCACGTGTCACTTTGCGCCGCTTGAAGAGGGAAAACTGATCCAGTCTTCCCACTGATATTACGGTTGATGGAATCTCCATGTACGGTTTAAGGGTGTGGAAACGATAGTCTAGGGATTGAGGCGGTAGGGGAGAGCACATAGAGAGATTGTGACATGGCCTCGCTAGACTATAGCTATTTTTATTGACCGGTGCATAAGACCTGTAAACCAATACACCTACGAAAATTGTTTACGAATTTCAGTAAACGTTTTATAGTTCTGTAGGAGTTGTTCCGACTCTTAGGAATGAGTGACGGTACTATATCTCATTGGTGCCTAGCTGGTAGTTTAAACATCGGCATCTGTTAGCAATGTTTGACGAGCCATATCATAAATCTTGTCGTACTTTCACGCATGCCAATACTAAATAAACTCCAGATTGTGTTCGTACGTTCAATAGGAATAATGCCTCTAAGGCAGGGAGAGTGCTCGGTGTAGGCATTTAGCGGTGCAATGGCAGTATCAGTCCGAGGAAATATATATTTCTATTATCCGCCATATGACTAAAACATTAACAGTCAATTCAACCTCATTCGCCGTGTATTGTACGATCCTTCCAACGTTGTGGCACGACGGAACACCAGAAAGGGTTGTGCAAGTGTAACTTGTGCCCTGTATGTCGGTGATATGCCAATAATCTCCACCACGTAGTTTCAATTCCGGGTTTTCCTTATAGTCACGAATTCTCCCTGGCGTATAAATCGGGAAAGAGGAGGTAGGTGGCAAGATCCTGCTGTGGAGTTGCTTTGCGAGTGGGAGTGATATTAGGGGTTTCGGCAAAGAGACCTAGCTGGGCTAGAGCCGGAGAGCCTTAAGGGTATATGACGACTAATAGTGAACAGGAATAAAATCAGAGTGCCCAGTCATACGATTCTATGAACGTGTGGTGGTTAACCTGCATCTGCTTCTGTGTATGTGGGTGTTTCTACCACGAGGACTATCCAGCTACCATATCCCTCTGACAAGACCGTTACCGGAGAGCAGATGTAGTACGAGAGAATCTTTATAGCTCTTTTACGAGCTGACACTAAATTGCATGGCATCGTATGATGCGCAAGAGAAATTTGCTGGTGCCACAGGAAAATTCCTCATAACCAAATTTGCACGTATGACAAGACTGAAAATATCATGCGCCTATAAAGGACTTATTGTTACACTATACACGCTAAAAACAACATCAATGCGACGCCTAACGTAATCCTATAGACACGGTAACCCAACTCAACAACTCCTGAAGAACCAATGACCAAGCTCTAACGATGCCAACCGCCTTCTAGCGCTGTGATAGTAACAATTCACACAGTGATATGTACCTCTAGCTTTATAACGTAACGGGTATGAAGATGACATCAGCGGGAACTCTAGTGACAGAAGGGCGCGCCTTGATGGTTTCGTCGAGTCGTAAAATCGTTGGCTCCTTGCCAAAGCCGTCTTGTCTTTCTAGTCCGATTGTAATCGTCTATTCGTCTTTATTCAAATGGCGCACAAGTGAACGCGCCCCGAACGTTGCCCTTTGTATATCCATCAATCTACAAAATGATATTAGGAATCGACCACATAACCGAGTAAAATAGCTAGGGAGGGTGGAACTTACGATATCGACAATACTCGAGTACGTGCCGCCAACCAACACGACGATCCCAATAATAAACACCAAACCGTTGAGGACACTCAACCATAAGTTGTCCTTCGAGTACCATTTGCCCTCTTTGATAACCATGAACCATAATAACGCGGGCAAGTAGAAAGTGAAACCAGAAATGAACAGCGACGAGCAGATCGACAACAGGTCGGAAAAGAAGGGGATGGCCTCAGCGATAACCCATGCGATTATTGTGATAACCGTGATGAGCACCAACCAGCTAGTCCAGCCCTTGGTCGTGTTGATGAATCGGGTAAGCGAGTTCTTATATATGCGACCGTGGATGTAACGAGCTACGACCGTCGTGTTGATGGACCCTGAGATAAAGATGACAGGCAACGCGATACCGAATGCAACCTTTGACACCAGCGAGCCAGCTGACAGCAGGGCCGGTGATTTAACATCCATCCCAACGAAGGAGTAGATCAAAGCACCCGTCAGGGTGTAGATTACGATCTCAATAAGACCGAGCGCCCAGATGGATTTGACGAAGTGCTTTGGGGTGTGCATCTCGTCCATGAATGAGAACTGGCACACGGCGAAACTGTAGGCGAAGACGATGTTGGTAATGGCGATGAAGGCCTTGGAAAAGGTGACGTTTTCTTCTGGCCACGCAGACCAGTTGGAGCTAACACCCGCGTCTGTTCGTTGGATACCCGTTGCGATGATAGTAACACCGATGGCGGCCATGATGGACACAAAGTCGATATAGCCCAGGATGGCAACCTCGGCAAACGAAGGGGGGACAGCCAGAAGCAGGAGGATGATGGCGGAGACGACACCAAACACTAGCGAGCAGGCTCCGTTGTTGGTGATGTTGAGAAACGCGATCGTGCCTGTAAGACAGTGTGATCCAACGAGAAAGATCAACTGCAGGACAAACATGACGCTAACTAACTCATATCCGAACCGTCCAGCGATCAGTCGACCCGCATCAGCATAGTGGTGAATTTCAGGGTACTTGAGCTTAACCTGGCCGACGACATAGCTGGTGTAGATGGCTATGAAGCCTATGCCGACACTGAGGATGACGCCTGCTACCATTCCTAACGTCGCGAAGGCTGAGGGCATACTCAGACTACCCAGAGCAATGGCTTCGACGATCAGAACTATTGTGAGCCTCTTCCATCCCAGCCGGTTAAAGTGGGCGCTGCCGGTGGCAGCCTTCGCCGCCTCGAATCCAGTGACATCGGTGACTTGACCAACTTCTTCACTATTAGGTGTCACATCGTGAGAGAGCTGCAAGCTACCATCAAGCCGCTTCTCCTTGTTGTCCATGATGTGGTGGTAGACTGACTGGCTGTCAGTCGGAAATATGTCGTCGTTCGTGGGCGGAGGAGGCTGACAGGTGCGATGAGCAAGGTTGAATCCAATTTGCCTTTCTTACTAAGATCCAACTGGACGTGCTCATGCAGAACCTTGGAACTTTAAAAGTATTACTCCAGAGGCTGCCTTTTGCGACGGGGGAGCACGCGACTCAAGTAGAATTGAGTTCCACAGACAGGCCGTAGGGTGAACCCTATGTGGATAAGAGCATGGCCATGACGAAGACCCCGGTGATCGACACAATTTGTATTACGTTTCGCAGTGGCAGTGGCCACCTCGTAAGCGGCGGTTTCTCTCCACGACACCGAGATGACGGAGGGGCCGCGTGATTTGACCCGTTCGTGATTTGACAACGGGTCCATCACACGAAGAGCCGCTCACGACTGCGACCCTTATCAATCCGACCGTTTATTCTGGTCCATACTGGTCCATACTGGCTATTACCTGCCCGAGGGAATACCGGGCTATGCGACGGAAAGCCACCGACGACTGTTATGAGATCACGATATTTCCTTTTGTCTTACATGATTGGTAGTATTGTGGACCTTCTAGAAGGCGAAGAAATTTCTTAGCTTTGCCTCACTAAACTAGAACTGCAGACCGAACGAGATTCGAGCGTTTCTATTTGCTAATAGTTTCCGCTTACGGCATATATCCCTTCAAGCAAGGGGCTGGGAAGCTTGAATTGACGATCCACCCCTACTTGCAAGGTCGGGTATTGCCGAAGGTTGTGTCCTCTTGGTTGGCTGACGCTGGTCATTGTTCAAAGCATTAGGTTAAGATTCTGCTAATAGATCTATGTTGATTATTTGGATTGGATCTCAGAGAATCTTCTTATCTCGACAGATTTGCGGTGGTCCTGCAGGATCAGTTCATTGAAATAAACGTATGGCTTTTGTCGGAGATAACGCTGTCGGGTTGAAAAAGCTTTCCGACCTGTCCCGGTATGGGTTGGATATACGGATGCAATGAGCCGCAGAATATTCGCTAAGATCTGACCATAGCAAACTACGCCACTTTAAATTATCGGTCTCCGACCTACATACATAGACGCCGGATGTCTTTACTTACCTCCGCATCTTGGATAGGTGCCAATCGGCAATTATTCTATTTAGTTTTCATGGAGACATTAGTAATTATTAGGCGTAGGGTATCATCGGGTAAACAATGGTTAGAGATGCAGCGCTTGGCTGTATCTCAATACCTGGGGATTCAAGGGTTGTCCCCACAGGCGTCAATGCGAGTGCGTGTCCTTTGGGCCGGCCCACGGGGTAGACTGCCTCATGGGAGGGT